ACCTGAGCTGTCCAGTTCACTGCTTACAACAGTCAGATTATCTGAATAATCTTTTGCTCCTAATCTGCTTGGACCTGGCTGAGGATGTGTGCTGTGGCATCTTTTCCTGGGATGGCAGAGCTCCTTTGGGAGGAGACGGAGCCAGAATTTAGGAAGAAGGGACCAAAAGCAAGCCTTTGAAGTGGTGGAGAAAATTTTCCCAAACCTATCCAGGTTAAAATGAATTCCATCATCATCACCTCTTTTTAGTGCACAGCTCAAATGTTCTTCTCTCCCCTTGTCACTTTTCTTTCATGAATTTTTAGGGTGGCTGTTCAGGCCCTAGACCACCTCACAGCATTTAATTCTAAGACTTGTATTTGGAGTTTTGAGATGAGGGAGTAATGAAGGGCTTTCAAAATTCCCCAAAACATTATGGTGTATATAATGAAGCAAATGTATCTACATCATAGCTTTTGAATAATCAATAATGTTACCTGTTATAAAGGCCTTGAAGACATTCCTTCTTTTTCTTTTTTTTTTCTTTTTTATTAACACAACAGAATGTGTTTTGTTTTTGTTTTTTTCTTGTGAGGAAGATTCGCCCTGAGCTAACATCTGTGCCCATCTTCCTCTATTTTGTATGTGGGACACCGCCACAGCATGGCTTGATGAGTGGTGTGTAGGTCTACAAGACATTCCTTCTTAATGAGTCTACAGATACTTGGTAAATGTGAAAGTCTTCCATTAGATTTGTCTACGAGTATACAGATGCTACTTTCAGAACATGAAATATTGGCTGCTCTGAGGAGTGTGTATAATGTGGCTCACACACCAAGAATCTGTCTGTTAGTAGGTGTTGTGCTATCTGTCAGCAAGGAGACAGACTCTGTCCAAGAGTAAGGAATCCTTTAGGAACATACAGAACCAAAGAAAGAAGCCAATGTGTTTGGAAATAGGATTGCTGGTATGAACATCACATTACCTCTGACTGGTGTTCGGCATGGGTAAGCAAACAGTGAGTCTGGTAGAGAGTCTTATGACATATTTACACTTGAGAACTTTGTTTTTATGACTTGTAAATGCAGCTAGACAATCCCCATTGAAGTAGGATTTGTTCCTTCTGCTTAGCATATAATGTAAATGGCTCTAAGATGTTTGGGACAGGATTTATGGAGCCAGCTCCAGGTTGGTCCTCCCACTTGTAACTCAGTGGGCATCCTCATGAGGAAGTGGGCATACTTCCTCACAAGGAAGTATATTTGTACATATAATGCAAATATATATGTGTGTGTGATATAAATGTAGTTCTGTAATTGAATATCAGCTTCATCACACACTTCTATAGGGAGACTAGAATTGTATGAGTAGAGGTAAGGCAGACAGTATTTCACAATTTTCCATACCATGAAATGTCTGTGACCTCATGCCATTGTATCCTATTTATTTCAAGTAACATTCACCACTGTTGGGGATAGTGGGAATGTTAAGTTCATCTCTTTTGGTGGTATTACAATATCTTTCTTCACAGGGACAGAGGTCAGGAGCATTGGAAAAAGAAAATGGGTTTTGGGGCCAAAGAGACTGGGATTAAATCCCAATTCCATCAGTTTATAGCTATGATGTTAAACAAGTGATTTAATCTCTCTGAGACTGTAATTCCTTATTTGTAAAATTGGAACAACAGTGCTTTTTTCACTAGTATATTGTGAGCATTAAACAAAATACTTTTTGTAAAGTCTGTACCTGAATGTTTGACAGATAGTAAGCACTGAAAAAATTTTTGCTTTCTTTACGTTATTAAAATAGTCCAACACAATGAAATTTTCCCCAGATAATATGCACATTTATATGGGTTCATGCTCACCCACAATATAGTAATAGGCTTCCAATAAGTTCACTCTAGTTTTTCCTTCTAAAAACATGTCTTCTATGAATTAAATCAAGTGTATCATTCAAGTAGTGTGTCTAGAACTAGATCAATCATAATTATCAAAAAAAGATAAAGTAGGTTAAATAGAAAAGCCACAATCCATGTAAATTACATGGAGATTTACTGCTTTTTAAGTTTGGGGGGTATTTTAATTAGTTATGTGTTTGTGTATGTATGCCTGTGTATAAAATTCAACAGAACATTTTTATTATTATTGTAAATAGTCAATATTATTTTGATTTACCCACAGTCTATCATTTTTGTTGTTCTTCATTCCTTTGTGCATCTACAAACTTCTATCTAGATTCATTTTTTCTCTAACTAAAGAATACTCTTTAGTATTTTCTTTAGTGAAGATCTGTTGGTGGTGAATTCTCTTAATTACTGTCAGAAAAATGTCTTTATTTTGTCTTCATGAAGGATCTTTTTTCTTGATATAGAATTCTTGGTTGGCAGTTCTTTTTCTTTAGTACTTTAGAGATAATCCATTGTCTTCTGTCTTCCATTATTTTTATTGAGAAGTCAACTATGAATTTAATTGTTGCTTATTTGGATGTATCTTTTGGTTTGGAGGCTTTTAAGATTTTTTTTTTTTTTGCTGTCTTTGGCTTACAGCAGTTAAGTTATGACTTGCTGAGGTCAGAATTTCTTTTGATTTTTCCTGCTTGTGGCTTAGGCCTTCTTGAATCTGTGGCTTCCAAGTCTTACCAGTTTCAAAAAATTCTTAGCCATTATAGCCTCAAGTATTACTTGTGCCCTAAGGTCTCTCTCTCGTCCTTGTAGGATTCAAATTATATGTCTGTTAGATCTTCTCGATGTGTCTTCTGTGTCTCTAACCTCTCTTCTGTATTAGCCATCCTTTTGTCTCTGTGTTTCATTCTGTATAGTTTCTCCTAAAGCTCTATTTAAAGAATCCAGTTCACTAATTCTCTCTTCAACCACGTTTATTCTGTAAGAAAATCCATTGCACTCTTGATTTTAGTAGATGTATTTTTTTTTCATTCTAAAATTTCCATGGATCTTTTAAAAATAGATTCTAATTCTCTACCAAAATCCTCAAGCTTGTCTTTAATCTCCTTAAATATTGTCAACATAGTCATTTTAACGTCTATATCTGATGACTGTATATCAGAAGCCTCTGTGGGTCTGTTTCTATTATCTGTTGCTTCTACTGGTTTTTATTCATGTCATCTGATCTGCTCATGGACCTCCTCCCCCTTTGTTAATTAAATGTCTTTTATTTGAAAAATTGTGGAAATAATTCAAGACCTTAATCCAATTTTAGGGACTAAGATGATTAAAATCTGAGCTTCAGACCTTGAGAGGGCCTCTCTGCTTCTGGTTCACCTTACTTCGAGAGTACAGTGCTTTGAGGTCACAGCCCAAAAGAGTGAGGTTCACCAGAGAGCATCCTCCCTTGGTGTACCCCGAATTCCATTCCCTGCTCACCCACCGTGCTCTTGAGATTACCAAAAGCCCACCTGGTTTCACAGTTGCTCCACTTTGGAATGTGCTAATGCCCTTGGGGGAAATAGCCGCACACACCAGGTTCAAATCTCTGGGCCATCACCCTTTCCTGATCGTTGACCCCATGCTTTTCTACTATCTTATTTTCTGTCTCGTGCCATAAGAAATAGTTTTTTACATTTTGTCCAGAGTTTTTGTTTGCTTTTTGTTCAGAGTATTTAGTTGTCCTCAGCAAGAGGGTTGGCCCAAATTACCTAGTCTACTACTTCTAGAAAAGCCATTGAAAATTGACTTTTTAAAATTACTTCATTGTTTTCTTTTTCTTTTTTCATATAGCATCAAGTTGAAGAAATTAAATTTCTATGAAAATTAAACTGTTAAAACCTTAAGCACATTTCAACCTAATGCCATCGTAAGACTTTTACTGGACAGTTTGCACATCCTTACACACACTATCTCCTTGCCTTTGTTCACATACTCCCACCTCCAGGAATGTCTTTTCCTTGTAACCACACCTCTACTCAACCCCTGTTATTTTTTAAAATTCAGCACAGTGTATACTCACCCGAGAAGACTTCCTTACTCACCTCTTCTCCCAACTGGTCTATGCCTTTCCTCTGCCCTCCAACAACTTAATACTGTGCAAGGTATTATAACCCCACTCATCACATTGATTGGCAGTTATTGTTCGTATGCCTCTTTTGCCCACTTGAGTGTGAACTCCTTTGGGACCAGGACTATCTTTTTCAATTTATTTCCTTAGCACAGTGCATGGCACATAGCAGCATGGAGAAAATGGCAGCTTATTGAAAGGATTACTGGGCTTCCACTGCTTTCGATATTTGTTTTTCAAACAAATGCAGAGACTGATTTGAGGACCTGGGGCTTGACCTCGAGATGGACCAAGTGCTTGAGCTCTCTATGTCCATTTCACCCTCTCTCCCTCAAACCTCTCCAAATCCTGCCTATCCTTCAGGGTCCTGGGATAGCCCTCCCTGCTTATCTAGCCTTCACTGATTCCGCTCCCCCTAAATTCCTAAAGTACACATTTATTTATCCAATAAATATTTAGTAAGCTTCAGCCATGTGCCTGGTACCCTTTTAGGGGGCAGGGCCTGCCTCTGGAGCTCACATACAGGCCAACTCTGATCCATAGTTTGCCCTGTCATCCATGAGAATAGCATTTGCCCAGGGAGCTAATAAAGCACAAGACCATATCTTGGACTTGAGTTCCCCATGGAGCCTAACTCAGTGCTGAACGTTAAGTAGATGTTCCTTGGGGGTCGATTGACTTGTTTTAACGGAGGCCAGCTATATAGCTGGTACTCAGTGAAATGATATTTTGAATACTGAATGGACTTTTACTGGCTTCTACCCAACATCTATAAATGGTAAGTACAGGGACAGCAGAAAATTAAGAGCCTCATTTGTGATTTGTGTGCATTGGTGCAGGAGGTTTGTGGAATTAAGTCTTATTTTTTTCCATTCAGCTTGTATGTGTGCTTGTGTGCGTGTGTGTGTGTGTGTGTGTGTGTGTGTGTGTGTATGAAATAAAACAAGAATAAATGTCTTCATTTGTTTCCTTCCTTTTTCTTCTCTCTGTCTCTCACTGTTCCCACAGGTCAGCGTGGAAGTTTTGGTAGAGTATCCTTTTTTTGTGTTTGGACAGGGCTGGTCATCCTGCTGTCCAGAGAGAACCAGCCAGCTCTTTGATCTGCCGTGTTCCAAACTCTCCGTTGGGGACGTCTGCATCTCGCTTACCCTCAAGAACCTGAAGAACGGCTCTGTTAAAAAGGGCCAGCCCGTGGATCCCGCCAGTGTCCTGCTGAAGCACGCAAAGACCGACAGCCTCACGGGCAGTAGACACAGGTATGCCGAGCAGGAAAACGGAATCAATCAGGGAAGTGCCCAGATGCTCTCCGAGAATGGTGAACTGAAGTTTCCGGAAAAAATAGGATTGCCTGCAGCGCCCTTGCTCACCAAAATAGAACCCAGCAAGCCCGCAGCAACGAGGAAGAGGAGGTGGTCGGCGCCGGAGACCCGCAAACTGGAGAAATCAGAAGACGAGCCACCTTTGACTCTTCCTAAGCCTTCTCTAATTCCTCAGGAGGTTAAGATTTGCATTGAAGGCCGGTCTAATGTAGGCAAGTAGAGGCAGTGTGGGGAAAGGAAAGTCGGCTCCTTCTTACCATTTGTATCCAGATTACTGTACTGTAGGCTACATAACACAGTATTTACATGTTATCCTCTTACTTTAGGTTTCTGTTATAACCTTGTCATTAGAGTTACAGCTGATGTTGCCAGGAGACTGGTGCATATGCTTTTTCCTTGAGGGTCTGTCAGTGAGTGGGCAGGCGGGGGCCAGGGCAGGGCCAGTCCAGGCTCTGGGCATCCTGGTAGAAATGAATGTGGCTGCACAGCGCCTGCCTTTTCCAGCACAGAAGCATCCACTGGGCGCTGACTTCCGCTGGTTTCATGAGGAAGTTCTTTGGGAAGAGCACTGCAGGGGGTGTGTGCGTGCGTGCTTGTGTGCGTGCGTGTCAGGGTGCACGAATGCTGCATTGAGTGAGGGTCTCTTTCTCTCTGCCTCCCTCTGTCTCACTCTCTTGCTCTCAGCACGGGATTGGAGGTCCAGAGGAATGTCCTCATGGACGCATGCAAAATAAACATCAGGAACCCAGCTTCAGAGCATCCTAGAGAGGCATCAGACAGCAGATGGAAAGACAGTGTAAAAGAACTGCCCTAACAGTGTAAAAGAACATTTTTTTCCAACATATTTTACAATAAAAGCAACTTTTAATCATATAGATACATATTTCCCCCTATGGGGCCTGACTGCACTGATATTTTTTTTTAAAGAGCAACTACCGCACGTGGGATTTCGTTTCTGCTTTACTAGTGCAGTGATGTCTCCAGGGTGTCGTGGTGGGCAGCGCAGCCCCTGAGTACATCCCTCCTGGGGGGGGGGGGGTGATGGGCAGCGGGGGTAGGGGAGAGTGAACACCCACTCTGGTTTCTGTGCAGTGTTAGGAAAACCAATCGGGTTATATCGCATTGACTTCGCTCCCAAGAGGTAGACGCAAACTGCCCTTCAGAGAGAGCAGCGGAAACTCTTCGCATTGGGTTTGCAAATCTTTTGTCTTTTAACTCTAGTACTGTTTATAGTTCATGACTATGGACAACTCGGGTGCCACTTTTTTCAGATTCCAGTGTGACGTGAGGAATTAGATTTTGAAGATGAGCATATATATTACTATCTCTAAGCACTTAAAATGCTGTTCACACTTTATTACCAAGCATCTTGGTCTATCATTCAACAAGTACTGTATCTCACTTTAAACTCTTTGGGAAGAAAAACAAAACTAAGTTGCTTTCTTTTTTCAACACTGTAACTACATTTCAGCTCTGCAGAGTTTCTCAAGAGCAAGATATTGAAAGTTTCCATGTGGTTTAAAGGGATGAATGTGAATTATGAACTAGTATGTGACAATGAATGACCACCAAGGACAGCCTGACAGGGGGCACTTTTCACTTTGATGTCTGAGAAAGAATTAAAGGCATATGCAGAGCTGGCAAAGAAACTGAGAGAAAAGGGATGGAAAAAAGAATACTCATTTTTGTCCAGTGTTTTTCTTTTTAAGATGAACTTTTAAAGAACCTTGCGATTTGCACATCTTGAGTTTATAATTTGTGTGATATTCCTGCAGTTTTTATCCAATAACATTGTGGGAAAGGTTTGGGGGACTGAACGAGCATAAATAAATGTAGCAAAATTACTTTCTAACCTGCCTAAACTCTAGGCCATTTTATAAGGTTATGTTCCTTTCAGAATTCATTTTGGTCTTTCTACCACATCTGTCACAAAAACCAGGTCTTAGCAGGACAACTCTGAGAATTTTCTTCAGATTCATTGAGAGAGTTTTCCGTAAAGACATTTATATGTGTAAGCAAGTTTTTTTAAAAAACAATTACTTTGTTGTTGTTGTTAATGTTATTTTCAGAATGACTTTTCATTTTCCATCGGAAATCAAATCAAGATTTAAGGTTTGGTACAAACCCAGAAAGGGTATTTCATAGTTTAAACCTTTCATTCCCGGAGATCTGAAATATTGTTTGTGGGTTTTCAGTGTGCATCTTAAAGTGCTTTAAAAAATAAGTTTTATAAGTAGGGAGAAATTTTTAAATATTCTTACTTGGAATGGCTTCAACTAATCTGAACAAATACTTATCTGATTTTTTTTTTTTTTTTTTTTACCATTGGAAATAGTACTTCTTCCATTTCACAAATTAAAAAAAAAAAATTCTAATGTCAACCCACGTTTTGGCTATCTAGTATTCCTTTACATTTAGCTCTCACCAGAACTCTTGATTTTTATAAGCCATTTTCTGGGGTGTACCAAAAACATTTGAATAGACTTAGAATAGCTAGAACCGGTCTTTGACTTTCTTCAGATTTCATTACCCTCCCAGCATGTTAGCAGAGAGCTGGGTGGGCCCATTCTTGCAGTCATCCTGCTCATTTAGTGCTGTATTTTTTTAAACATTTCTGTTCAGAGAACTTGCTTAATCTTCCATATATTCTGCTCAGGGCACTTGCAATTACTAGGTTTTGTTTTCCTTTTTGTCTTGTAACCTTTGATGGTAAGAGGAATATGGGGCTGCCATATAGACTTTGTCCTCATTAGTACCACTATTTACAGCAACTCACGTGGACTCAAAAACACACACCACCTTTTGGCTTACTTCGAGTATTCAACTAACTGGATCCACAAAACCAACACTATAATGAGAAAACATACATGGTTTGGAGCAATAGGAACATCGTCATCATTTTTGTGCTTCTGTTTCACGTATAGGAATTATAAGATAATTAGTTCTTTCTAAACATTGTCCCATTTCCTTCCCTCGCTTTTTTAGCATGTGCAATACTTTCCGTGCCAATAGAGTCTCATCAGTGTGCTCTGGTTAAAGCTCATACCCTTTTGGCTTTTTCCTTGTGTGGTCCATCTTCCCTGGGCTGGCCAGAGAAGGGCTGGAGGGAAGGAGCCAGGAAGGGGAGAGCCGCCCGCTGCGCCTTCCCCCTGCTGCGGATGCTGAGTGCTGGGGCGGGGAGCCTTCAGGAGCCCCAGGTGTCTGTCGCCGTGTTGCAGAAAGAGCAAGCAAACGAGATCTAGGGGAAAAGCTGCAGTTCCCCGTCACCGCGAGGAATAGTGAATGTGGAGTGCTGAGAGGAAGGAGGCAGATTCATTTCTAAGGCGCACTCTGGAGCAATAGAGCCAGGATCAACCCATTTTCCACAGTCTTTTCCTCAAGTGGGCAGGCTCCTCCTCAGGTCTGTGCCCTTGAGACTTGAGCCGTGCCCCTGAGCGTGGGCAGGAAGTGTGGCCTGATGTGTGCGTGTGCTCTGAGCGTGCCGGCCAGTGGCTGTGGAGGGGGCCACCTGCGGACAATGGTCACTGCTCCGTTGTGGCAGCTTTCTCTTCAAATAGGAAGAATATCCAGAGGACAGGGAGCCTCCTCTTGTTTGCAGACATTGGAGAGCCCCGAGGCTCCCAGAGCAGCCTTTGTCACACCGCTCCTGTGTAGCAAACTTAACAATGACAGGCGTAGAAATTCTTCGGTGCCCTGCAGCTTACGAGGATCAGCCATGTGCCTCTGTACTGTGTCCACCTTGCAATATTTACTGACAGCCGTCTTTAGTTCTTCCTTCTTTCCTGTTTTCCATTTTTAAACTAATAACAGCAGGCCTTTTGCGTTTACAATGGAACACAATCACCAAGAAATTAGTCAGGGTGAAAAGAAAAAAAATAATAATAATAAGAAACCAACAAACAAGAACCTCTCTTTATAGGGATTTCTAAATATATAAAATGACTGTTCCTTAGAATGTTTAACTTCAGAATTATTTCAGTTTGTCTGGGCCACATTGGGGGGGAGGGATACAGATGGATGCCACTTACCTCAAATCTTTTAAAGTGGAAATCCAATTTGCATTTTCATTTGGACTTTCAGGATAATTTTCTATGTCGGTCAATTTTTTGTTTTCTGCAACTCACCCAGTTTGGTTTGGGATGATTTGATCTTCTTTGTTGCTGGTGTTGATCCCGTTTCTAACTCTGAATTGTGACCCTATGTTTTCTGTGAGGTGAGTGTGTTGGGTTTTCTCCCCCACCAGGAAGTGGCAGCATCCCTCCTTCTCCCCTCCAAGGAACTCTGCGGAACCTTCCACACCTCTTACTCAGGGATGGGGCTGGCGTGTGTGTGGTACACTGATGTGTCCAGAAGCAGCACTTTGACTGCTCTGGAGTAGGGTTGTACAACTTCCAGGAATGTTTGGATTTCCTGCATTGTGTGGATCACTCCTTCGATCGTGCATAGATTGCAATATAATGCTGCGTGTTCATGACGAACAGTGGCTCCTAGTAATCCTAAAATCCACTCTTTGCACATAGTTTGATCTTTACTGAAATATGTTGCCAAAATTTATTTTTGTTGTTGTAGCTTTGGAAAAATTTTTTTGTTTGTTTGTTTTTTAAGGAAACAATTGACAATACCCTTTAACATCTGTGACTACTAAGGAAAACCTATTTCTTTCATAGAAAAATCTCCAGTGCTTTTGAAGACACTAATGCCATGCTATTTCAGATTTGGGTGAAGAAGCAGAGCTCTTGGGACAGAAGGCCCGGCTTTTTGAGCTGTGTTGGTTGTCATGGTGACCGTTTCATGAACTGCAAGCAGCTCAACAAACCTCATGAACCGCAAGCAGCTCAACAAACCGTGGTCTGTGTTCTCTCCTAAAACCCTTTTCACTTCCCGTTTCCTAGTCACCTGCGACTATTCCAGGTGAAAAAAGGGCCGGCAGTCTCCGTGGCCCGATACAGCTTCTTCGGTGGTGATGTGAAAGGAAAGGGAATTACACTTTTTATGTTTTCAAGTGGGGTAGGGGCCTTTGCTTCCACTTTTGTACTTTGAACCCAGAATTTCTGAAATAGAGAATTTAAGAACACATCAAGTAATAAGTAAATATACAGAGAATATACTTTTTTATAAAGCACATGCATATGCTATTGTGTTGGGTTGGTTTCCTCTCTTTTCCACGGACAGTGTTGTGTTTCTGTTAATAGGGAAAACTCCAAACAATTTGCACACCTCTACTCCGGAGCTGAGACTTCTTTTACATAGATGACCTCGCTTCAAATATGTTACCTTACTGATAGGATCTTTTCTTGTAGCACTATATCTTGTGGAATTTTTTTTTTTTCCTTTTAATGTACACCTAATTTGAGAAGCTGAAGAAAAAAAATTTTGAAGCACTCACTTTGAGGAGTACAGGTAATGTTTTAAAAAATTGCACAAATGAAAAATGAATGTCGAAATGATTCATTCAGTGTTTGAAAGATATGGATCTGTTGAAACAAAGAGTTTCATACCTTGTTTGTAAAAGAAAAAAAGCATAGAGGTTGAAAGTTACATGTTTTTTTGTATATAGAAATTTGTCATGTCTAAATGATCAGATTTGTATGGTTATGGCCTGGAAGAATTACTACGTAAAAGGCTCTTCAACTGTACCTATGCTTCCCTCTTCTGAGGGAGGGCGACTCTGTATTCTGCAATTTGAGAATACTGTTCATTCCTATGCTGAAAGTACTTCTCTGAGCTCCCTTCTTAGGTTAAACTCTTAAGCCATTGCAACTCCTTACTCTTCAGAGATGATGTCTGACATTTTCAGCACTTCCTGTTCTAATAAACCCAAAGATATAATCCTGAACAAGAAGTGTTTGTGACAAGGGTTCCTAGCTACCAATAAAACAGGACTCATTATGAGGACAAAAAAAAATGTTCAGCCTTCTTTCCCCCCCTTTCCCCCCCACACCTCATTTAAATGGGGGGTAAAACATGGATTTCAATTCAAATGCCTCATTTTAGTTTCGACTTTTTCTTTAAGAGGCCAAAATAAATGTGGAGCAACTTCTCAGAAGAGTCATATTCTGTCCAAAAATCAAGCCAGCCAGCAGAAACTGGACAGCTGTGGGGATATTCAGCAAACCCCCCCTACAATTCTTAAATTCAGAATCTCAGCCCCTCCCTCAAATGCAATGTTTCTGGTAGCTGACATTCACCTGTAGAATGGGGGGAGGGAACAGTGGCTTGGTTTTTCATGTCCTCTTGATTTGCATACAAATGGTTCAGCTGTATTAAAATTAAGTGCATTTGGCCAACAGGTAGTATCTATACAATAACAGTCTCTAAGAATTTCAGTAACTTTTCCTATCTGAAAGGACTCAAGTCTTCCACTGCAGATAATTGGAGACTTCACCCAAGTTTTCTTGCCCTTTAAATTGGTTTGCTGTCTGGATGGCCAATGAGCCTGTCTCCTTTTCCATGGCCAGTCTGAAGGCCTCCATTGGAAGCATTGTTTACAGTCATCCTTGCCCAGATAACATACTGTCCTCCGGAATATCAAGTCTGAGGTGACACTAGCTGAGAGCTGTTGTCTTTAAAGAGCAGTTACCAAGAGGCTGGGTGCGTAGGTTTCCTCTGGGTCTTACACAAACCACCTGCTATTATTCTTTAGTCAGTGAACCTTCAACTTGATACCTGTGCACTTGGCTCTGTGACTACTGCCCTTTTGGGGAGACTTCTTCCTCCCCAGCCGTTACTGCTCCCTTGTAAACCCAAATTGGTGTCAGCTGAAAAGGTTTCACTAGAGCCCTGCCAGTATTTGTAATGGCCTTCGGTTAAGACAGAGTCCTAATTTCTAGCCATTGGATCCTGGCCCCCGAGCCATCTCTGAGATTCGTACTATTGGATGTTTTAATATCGGATCATTACCCACCAAACTTTCAATTGTATGCCTCCCACCAGCCAAGGGAAAAGAGACACCAGAACTTTGAGGGCACTATCAGACTGACATGACCAGTACAGAGGAGAACTAGGGAAGGAATGATGTTTTGCACCTTATTGAAAAGAAAATTTTAAGTGCATACATAGTTAAGAGCTTTTATTGTGACAGGAGAACTTTTTTCCATATGCGTGCATACTCTCTGTAATTCCAGTGTAAAATATTGTACTTGCACTAGCTTTTTTAAAACAAATATTAAAAAAAAAAATGGAAGAATTCATATTCTATTTTCTAATCGTGGTGTGTCTATTTGTAGGATACACTCGAGTCTGTTTCTTGAATTTTATGGTCCCTTTCTTTGATGGTGCTTGCAGGTTTTCTAGGTAGAAATTATTTCATTATTATAATAAAACAATGTTTGATTCAAAATTTGAACAAAATTGTTTTAAATAAATTGTCTGTATACCAGTACAAGTTTATTGTTTCAGTATACTCGTACTAATAAAATAACAGTGCCAATTGCAAAATGTGTCCTTGCCTTGTGTCCGGTCCTCGAAGAAAAGATGAGAAGATGGTGGCAATTCTTCCTTCTTACCCCTGCTGTGATCAGTGATTGGGTAGGTTTGTGGTGGTGACACAGGACATTGCCTTTCCTAACAATTTTTTTTCCCACAAGGGTAGGATTGGTTGTGCTTGAGATGAGGTTCTGAGATAAAAGGCACATTTCCACATCTGATGTCTTGGCTGGTTCTGTTCCTGTTTATGTTTCCTACCTGAACACCACTGTTTACAAGAGAGATTTGTCTCTAAATACCATTTGGCAGTTTCTTGGGCTCACGGAGCAGCAATACGATATGTACAGTTTTGCTGTGAACTGGTTAGTGGTCTGAAGGTAGAAACATCCCATTTCCTGTAGTTCATGCCTCTTGGCAACTCAGTGAGCAGAGGGGTCTCCTGGCGTGCGGAGGGGCCCATTTGTCTCAAGAGTACTGCACCACAGATCTGCCCTGTGTCTGGTCTCAGAAAGATGTGGCTTAGCAGCTGCCCCAGAGAGTAAATCAAGAACCCGTGTCTTTCGAGTGACCTCCCCTGCCCCCATCTGCACATGTGGTTCTCAAATCCTTCCAGCCTTAAGGTCCGCAAAGGTGGAAGAGACCTCTCGGCGTGGAATTCAGAGTTTTCACTTAGCCCAGGGAGGACTGGGGAATCCCCTTCCTTTTCCTGTCTTCTTGATTAGGTGTATGGGGACTCTCCCCTTAGGACTTACTTAAGAGTTGAGGTACTGACGTATTGTGAATGTCAGTGTGTGAAAGAATGTGCACTAGGGCAGCAGTGACTAGGTGAGCCGTGAAGCCCAAACAAGAAGGGCTGCCCAGGTCCTCCTCCTCCTCCTCCTCCAGAGCGGTCTGGGCAGCCGTGTCGCGTGCTGGGGGCAAGTCTGGGGAAGCCATCTGAACCACCGCCTTCCCTACTGTTTGGTTTTAATATGAGATGATAATGGTTCTGATACGTTTGGGGTCCAGTGGCTGTGAGACTTACCTCAGCTGGTCAAACTGATTAGGGAAAAATCTCTGCTGCACGTGCTGCAGTGGGGCAGACCTCGAAACCATGACGAGCATAGCAGGAGCCCCAAGGAGAACGGCATCTGGTTCTCTGGCTCTTCCCCTCTCCCCAGCCACCAACAACTCCTGCACAGAAAGGCCTGCAGGTCAGCAGGCCGGCTGTGCTTGCCTCTCCGCATCCTGTATAATACCTGGTCTGTGGGCTGCTCCAGAGCAGGTGCCCCCAGGGCCATTGCTATTGGAGGCAGAGATGAATTATAAGGCGGTAATGGAGCCTTAGAAGTGCTGCTTTTGGTGAAGCCTCTGCTTCAAATTGATCCTGATGAGGTTTTGGCTTTTACAGTAACTCAGTTTTCAGTTTCCTAAAAACTGGATGAACCTGCCTTTGGTTTGTGGAAACCAAGAGCTAGTCCGCAAAGTCTTGACACAAGATGGATAAAGCAGGCCTACATCACTGCGGTGAGGGCTGCCCAGTGGCTGCTAAGCGGGCTGCCAGCATCCCCCTCCCTCACCCTCTGGCTGTAGCACAGGAGCCCTATCTGAGAAAGGGAACACTGGTGACCCGCAACCAAAGTGGAAGGATGGAGAAGGGCACCATCCCAAAGTTCCCTCACTACTGCTGTACGTTTTTAATGGATTTCTTTAGGTCCTGTCCTCCACCTCGCCCTTATTTTGCAATAAAGAATCTCTTAAAACTAACAAACTTGAGGGCTTGAGTGTAAAACACATCTTCCACAGGAACAGCACGGAGCTCACACCTCACACAGACGGACAGACAGAGAAGCTGGGTCCTCCAGCAAAGCACCACATCCTCACTGTACATTAAACATCCTGTTGACCCTCCTATCTCAAAAGCGTAGCCATTCATGTTTCTACAAGAATTATTCTTAATGAATTTAGGGGGAAAGGTATTACAACGGAGTTCAAGTTGCTGGATCTTTACATGTATTCTTATAAGACTGAAAATGAACCTGTAATTTCCCAGTGTGATGACGGTTTGGCTGGATTCTTCATATGGGTCAGTCACCATGGACATCAGGCAATTAATTCACCTGTATACAGTAGGAACCATGAGGCCCTTCTCTACTCCAGGGCCATCACTTGCCTTTTCAAAGAATATTTACTCCTGTATTTGCTTCTTCAGCCTTGTTTAGAAATAAATACAGTCATGCACCACATAACGTTTCAGTCAATGACGTACTGCAGATATGGTGGTGGTCCCATAACATCAGTACCATACAGCCTAGGTGTGTAGTAGGCTACACCATCTAGGTCTGTGTCAGTCACTCTGTGACGTTCGCGCAAGGGCGAAATTGCCTAAAGACACACTTCTCAGAACGTATCTCCGTCGTTAAGCGGCGCATGACTGTAAAGTAAAACACCCTGGTCTGCGTACAAAGGCTTCAAAAGAAGTGGCCGGCCATCACTAATTCATCCGTGTTCACTGCTTAAACAAGTGTCACAGCAGACGGCTGTAGGAGTCCTGCCAAGGCCATGGGTCCCTTCTCCAAGAGAATATCATTGTTACCAGTCAATGAGCTGATGGATTGACCGTTATACAGTAGGACCATCTGGTCTTTCCTTGAAAGCATTCATCACCAGGACAAGGGAACGGTTCTAAGTCACAGTTGAAACCAATGCCTTTTAGGAAGTCACTGGTCAAGGTGTTTGCTGTTTTTTTTGTTGTTCAGTGGGACTCTGCCTGCTAATGTGTTTGTGGATAACCTTTCAATGAAACATCCTGTGGAAGTGCAAAATGATGGGTAATCTATTTAAGAGAGAATGACAAGTTGGGACTGAGAAGGGACACGAAGAGATGGAAGAAAGCAAAACTAAATGAAAACCAGGACAAGAACAGGGATGGGGACAGGCACAGCTTCCCAGGAGCACCAAACTGGTAGCGACAGATGACCTGTTCCCAAAAGGCACCTGTAACAAAGATGGTGCAAACATGTCACCACACCTTGTGAGTATCTGCAGGAAACCAATTCTTCAAGTTCCTCTGTCCAGCCAATCGCTTTTGTTCTTTGCCAGCAACCAAAAGCTGGAGGGAGGGGATGCCACCTGACTGGCCCGGCTTCCCGGATCCTCCCCGCTCTTCCCCTCCCAAGGTGCCTTGATGGCCAACAGCCAAGAGCGGCTCGCCACTAGCCTGTCTGGGAAGGAGGCAGAAAACTCCCAGCTCCCCCTACCACTTGGTTCCTGCAAATGCAAACTCCAGCACTCAAGCAAGTCTTAAGATAATAGCATTATATTAAAGTGAAACCGTTTTCTTTTTAAAAAAGAAAGAAAAAGGTGTGAGTATTGGTTGTAACAATGTGGTTATGAGTTCTGGGCAGCTGGGCTCTGACCACTGACCCTCTCAGTGCCCTGCTTCTGGGCCCCCCGGAAGGCACCAGGGGGAGCCCCAAAGCCTCCAGGCGGCAGGAGGGGTAGGAAGAAGCAGCATTCCACCATTCAGGAGCAGCCCGAAGCTCTGATGTAACAGGAGGAAGGAGATGGGAAAGCAGGTGTGTGTGGAAGCTTCCACGAGCCAGATGTCACCTCATCTTCAAGGTTAGCTGAACAGGGTGTTGTGCTGTTGGGTCACCCGGATGAACGTCGCCCTCCTGCTGAGCTCTTTGAGTTTGGCGGCTCCCACATAGGTGCAGGTAGACCTCAGTCCCCCGAGAATATCCAGAATAGTGTTTTCTACACTCCCTTTGTAAGGCACTTCCACAGTCTTGCCCTCAGAGGCTCTAGAAGAAAAAGGAAGTTTTTCTTTTAATCTGGTTCTTTTTCCTTAAGAACTCAGCCAGAATTATTCCCAGCGTTAGAACTTGAAGCAGCCCCAAGGCACTCACGTAGCTAAACGTCACCCTCTGACCCCACTCCCACATTGCTACAAATGCCAAGCTCATCATGCCAGCGTCTCAGATGAATGCATTCCTCCCACCCAAACGGCACAGCCTCACTGCTGGCTATCCAGAGCGCCAGGGAAAGGAAACTCTTCACTGGCAACACTGGAAGAAGTCAGAGACCCATACCATCCTGCGTGGTGACTGCAGGGTGACATTCTTCTCAGCAGCGTGCCTCCACTCTGCCCTAAACAGAAAGGAACTCCACCTTTCTATTCTACCTTAATCGGTACACCAATCTCCAGTTGACCCAAAATGCCCAGGGGAAGGAGAACAGACCTGGCAGATCACCTCTTGAACGATCCACCTCCTCTGCTTGACCGCCCCGATCTACAGAAAAAGCCAAGCGTTGCCCTCTCGCGTGCCAGCTCTACGACCAGACACTGAATGTCTTCAAAGGGGATGATCAAGAGGAGGAGGAAGATCTCAATGCAATGGACAACTCAAGCCCTACTAACTTACATGGAAACCTCCAACAGCAAGACATAGTGGTCCACTCCAACAGCCCACCTGTCTTTCCAGGGGGCCCTTTGTTGGGCACCTCCCTGCACTTGCCCAAGTCACTACACCTGTTGTTCTGGGCGTGCAGTGGGGTCCCAGCAAGGTGGACCCAGAGTAGAACTAAGGACTTTCTCAGCACTGGAGGTTCAGGGCTTTGGATAGCATCTTTCACGTTTTCAGGGAAACATTTAGAAATTCAGAAGGTCTGGCATATGGCACAAACACTAAGCAATATCTAACTGTCCTTGCTGAGCCACTGTCCCACTCTGCACAAGGCCACCAAGTAACGTTGCTTGATTCCACATGTTAGGTCCCCTCACTGCAAATGGAGATACAGTCCAGACTTGCTTTTGGAGAGGCATTAGAAGGAAGTCTCAAATCTATGCAAAACTCTAGCCCTCATCTAAGGGCCAGACAATCTGGAACTTCTAACAATTAACCAAATTCTGGAACTTTCTCTAGCTGGTCTCTTTAATTGGAAAAATAGCATCTCTTGATCAAAAACTCATTACCTGGAATTTCAAAAGGGATTAACTCTTGTGCATTGAAATCTACACATGCAAGACTACCCTTGGGTTAAATCTGGCTACCTAAACCATCAACTAGACCAAAGGCTGGCCTCGTGGCTAGTCTGGAGCACCAAGCTCATGAAGCCTGCCAGTCACTGGCCACACCCAAGATGATTCACATCACTGCACTCTGTGATCAGAGACCAACATCTACACACATGTGCCTGCAAGGATTGCCACTTCATTTTTTAAAAGAGATTTCCATGGCTTTCCCGGGGCTTACTGGAAATTATCCAGATTCTCATCACTGCTTCTTCGCTGACTGGTGATGGCACCTTTTGCAAGTCATTTATTGTTGATGCTCAAGTCTTCCCATCTGTAAAACGAAGGTACTTGGATCTGTCTCCCAGGGGCAGCGTGAGAACTAAATGGTTAATGACTGGGAAGGAACTAGCAAAGCATAAATAACTCTGCCTTAATTAAATATAACGTCCAAGTAGGAGAAGCGTTCTCATGAGGAAATCCTGGTGATGAGGCTGCAAACTGCCAGGGAAAGGGAAGAAGGAGGGAGGAGATAAGGGAGGGAGGCAGAAAGAGAGACAGAGAAAGAAAGACATAAAGAGGGAGAGAGAACAGACGCAGCCTGCAGGGCTCAGGCTGCCTCTGGATTAAGGTTCTAATTCCTTCAGCATTTTCCTTCCTTGTCTAAGATTTGAATCTGCTTCTAGAACTGAGTCTTACTACTCCTGAATCTTCCATTTTCTGTTTTGTCCAAACCCTGCCGAAATCACAGGAGACGATTTTTCTTTTGGTTCCTTGGCTTTTGTGCTATAGCTGGTCTGGCCTTCCCCATCTACTTTTCTTAGAACCCCAAACAGATGCACCAGCTAGAGGGCAAAATTGTACTCCAGGCAAAGCATCTAGTTGTCACTGCATCACAGTGGCTCCACTTACATACGAGCACATAGGGGACACTGCACAGCCCCTTGATGGTGACAGTGGTTGTGGGTAACGCCTTAAGCTTCGTGGCCAGAGGTCCAGGTTGGCACCGAGGCAGTAATCTCCTCCCTGTCCCTCCCCCCTGACAAACTGTGCAACCTCCTCCATCAGGTACCACGGGGGGGAAGCAAGAGGCCCTTCTGAGGCTGCAAGGAAGGAGCATCCCTCTTGTTTTGACTATGTGAGGTTCCCAGGATGAAGGCATAAATGTGGTCTCCTACTCCTCTTTCTCACCCTGCCTTCCTCAAACTATAATATCATCTTTATTGAGATTCCCTCCAAGAGAAAAAGACTGCAGAGAACGAGAATTGAAGTCAGTCCACCTTGGGCCGGCCCCGTGGCTTAGCAGTTAAGTGCGCGCGCTCCCCTGCTGGCGGCCAGGGTTCGGATCCCAGGCGTGCACCGACGCACCACTTCTCCGGCCATGCTGTGGTCGCGTCCCACATACAGCAACTAGAAGGATGTGCAACTATGACATACAACTATCTACTGGGGCTTTGGGGGGAAAAAAAAAAAGGAGGAGGATTGGTAATACATGTTAGCTCAGAGCCGGTCGTCTTCAGCAAAAAAGAGGAGGATTAGCATGGATGTTAGCTCAGGGCTGATCTTCCTCACAAAAAAAAAAAAGAGAAAAAAGTCAGTCCACCAGTACCCTACTAAAGAAGAGAACTCTGGCAGAGTACCCCACACCTCCCTCCTGCCCGCCCACCTGTACATCTCAGTGGAGTTCTGAGATTTCCACCTCTAGCTTGGTTTGAATCTTATATAATGAATCTGAATCCCGTGTCCTCAAAATAAGCTTGGGTGTGGACTGAGTGGCAAGAAATGGAGGGTGTCAGTCAGCCAGGGAGGGCTTGAGTTTCCATCCCAGTGCCTGAGGCTTCCTAGAGAAAGGCAATCAGCCCAATTCACAGCCAACTACCTCCTCAGGATGCAAGACCTTCTGTCCTGTCCACCTTGTGTAGCCTGTCATCAGCACTGGCTCTAATGAGAATCAGTAACAGACCCTATGGAGCAGGGCAAGGCAGTGGATACAGTCTGTCTTAAAGTTCTTAAAACACACATGCAGACAATTAAAATGGAAGTGAAACAGAAAAGGCCAGGTGATCTTCTAGGCTCACAGATTTAAAAAAAGATAAGTAGAAGTGAGCATCCTTTCTGCAGTGAGTGACATAATTAAATGGCTCAAGATGCTGCCTTTGTCAACTGTCAGAGCCTGGAGGCAGGTGAGAGTCCTGTGTGAGCCACTGCGGGTGGAACACGGCATTCTTCAAGAAAGGTCTGACCTCCATGCGGAGGTCTAGGCCACACCTGTTTCATATGCAATGGGAGACCCATTCTGCAACCCAATTCTTGCAGCCTGAACTCATCCCAGGCGAGAGGTCAGAGGTTACAGGGATAGCTCAGCAACACTCTATCAGAAGTCGAGGCACAATATTCCTGCCTACCCCTTGGAAGTCTGAAGTGTCACCTGTTCACACACACCCCTAGTCACATTTCCAACTATCCCAAAACACTTCTGCTCTGCCTTTCCTTTAGAGGGCCCCAAACACCGCAGATGCTAGTTGGATAAAAATTAGGACTATTTAACAAGAAGCAAGATATGTTTTCTAGCTCTTTCCACAGTACTTTAACATAAACAGGATTGATATTCTTTGAGACCTGCTTCCATCCTATTTCTGCAAACATGAGACCCCACCAATGAGAAGCGTGGGCTCTCCCCTTACCTGTACTCGGCGACGCCTCCCGCGTGCTTCTTCATCGCCGTTTCCGAGCTCATCCCATAGAAGAGCTTGAGCTTCTGCCCATTCCTCTCGATCACCTCTCCAGCACACTCGGTGTGGCCTGAAAACATCCCTCCCAGCATGACAAAGTCTGCTCCGGCTCCTAAACACCGAGAATGCGGACAAAAGGAAGCAGCAGAGAAAAGAGCTCAGAGAAAATCAGCTCTAGAAAGATCCAAGTGCTACCCCAACTCACCCTCCCTCCTCCTAGCAACAGTCAAGAGAAAGCTCAACTTCTCCCCTTTTGAAAAAGTTCAGAAGGCTCCCCAGAGAGGGAGATGGGCACAGGGCACTCAGAAACAAACGCAGCCCACTGAAGGCTGGTGGTTGATAGATTGAACAATCCTTTATGGTTATTAGTGACTAACTATGACCACCTTCCAAACAGAGGTCTAACTCTTCTATAATCAGAGAAACATTAAGAATTGGGCAACATCTTAGCATGTTGTCCAACCTCATACTAGTACAATAACTCTACAATGTCCCCATCAGGCATCTGGTCTACCTAAGCTCTCAGCACTTCCACACTGTTTGTGTAGATGATGAAAGGACCTCAGAACAGACAGAACCTCCTACACTAGAGACTGAGCATAAGGAGAGAAACCTATATACTATATATATATACAGTGTAAAACTACCTGCACCTCTATTATAATGAATATTAGACTTGCAGAGTAAATAACACCTCATGTTAATCACCGAATGACATGAAATTTCCAGGATAGGTACAGAGGAGATTGCAGTATTGAAGCTGCCTTTGTAGGCTATGTTGGAACAGAACCAGGAACAGCTGGAACAGCAAGGCTGGCTCACTGCTGTGTCCTCAGTGTGTATCACAGTGCACGGCACACGGTAGATGAGAAATAACTAGTTGTCAAGAAAGTAAAAGGTGTATGTGGAAGAAATAGAAATAGTCACAATTCCCCATCCTGTTCACGGATAATTGTGCAGAGAGTCTCTCCATTAAGTAAGAAACTGCTACAAGTTCTCCTCCTGGGTAAGTCCTATGGAGGGTTTACATTTAGAATCTAAGGATACAGGATACAGATGTATTAAGTAATTAGGATGAAGGGCAAGGAGGAGCAAACATAGGAATCCCTAAAATGCGGCCTTGATCTCATCCATCTGGTCATTTAAATATTTGCAAGAGGACTTTGGGGTGTGTCAGGCATTCTGGTCCCTCTCTCCAGCATTTCAGAAAAGCAGGCTCTGCAGGGCTGGCCCCCTGGCCTGGCACTCAGGCAAGCAAGGCACAACAGGACCTTTCTACTTGGCAGCAAGCTTTGCAGACCCTTCCTTCCAGGATCCCTAACATGAATGCCGGATCCTGGGCCCCCGCCATGATTTTAAGGGGGCAGAGGATAACTGGTGTCCAGCCAGGCCTCCTGATGATGACAGCCCAGGAGCAGCACCCACGGGGTGGCTGCTGCAGAGCAGATGTAAACAGCAGGAACACAGAGCACAGATCCACAGCTTTGAAGTGGCTTCCAATTCTTTTCATTTCTGAACACACTCATGTCCTTCCCTAACCAGCATCTTCCCTGACACGGCTCCCCTCCCTCCCCTGAGCCTCCGCACAGGCATGGCTGCACTTACTAGGAGAGTGGAGGAGAGAAGGATGCCAGAGCGTGGTTTCAAAGGCCAGGAACCACACCCACATCTGTTATCTACAAGGCACCTTCTTAATGACCAGTCACTTCAGAGTGTACTCAGCTCCCACTCTGCAGGGAGCACTGGGTGCGCTATCAGAAGGGAGCCCAGGAAGGAACACTTATCAGTATTAAGTAGCTGCAACTCAAAAATCAACAGTAAAAATGTCCTTGGCTGATGATCCTTATGATAAGGGGTCAGTGTACTAGTGGAGTTCTGCCTGCACCACCCCTGATTGTGGGACCCTGACCTTGTCACTCGCCTCTTGGGGCCTCAGTCGCTGGACATTCTCCAGGATTGCTGCAAACCCAGCTACCAAGAACAATGCCCCATGTTTCCCTTTGTCACTATTGGTGTTTGTTTGTTTTTAAAAAAAAAAAAAAAAGAACCGGTGCCTAGGCCTAAGATATTCTAGGGTATGAACTCTGAAACAGCGATAAGAAATACGCAGGAGGAGTTGCTGAATACAGGTAAGGGGAGGAGCCACTGGCACCCTTCAGGAATGCCTCAGACAGAAAGCTTCCCTCCACCAGAAAACAGAACATGAAACAACAGCAGACTTGGCCCTGGCCTCAGGACAGGAAGGCGGAGCCGTGGGAGTTTCCTTTGTCTCCTGCCGACACACACAGCTCCCACTTCACAGTTTGGAGTCCCCAGCTGGGCAGCCAGCTCTGACTTCTGAATGCAGTTTGCAGAGATTTAGTGGTGGGCACAGGACACAGCATGCTGAGATGCTGGACGTCAGGGCTTTCCCGAGAAAACCCAGGACACACGGCTGGGGCCCGCGGTGCCGGCACCACTGGCTCAGAGCCGGACACTGCTGCCCCCTAGTGGGAAACAGGCTCCTCACCCTCTGGTGAGAAACTGCTGCTGGGACGGACGCCTGTCCCTGCCATGGGATTTCCCCAAGTTGGGCCCCCAAGACCCTGGCTGAAGTTACTGCACATCAGACCTGGGACTGTTGTCTTCCACAGGTGCCTGAGCCTTCTCAGCCGTGACTTCTGAGCCACGACTTCACCCGTTCCTGGCCTGCAGGATGTCACCCTTAGATCTATCCCTGGGCACCTGCTCTGCCACCAACCAGAACCAAACTGATGCCAGGATTTGGGCCAACTGGGCCTGAAATCCAGGGAGAGGAAACTCAGCACTGGCCCAGAACGTCCCCGACAGGTTCCACCTTGTTCCCACCCCACAGCCAGCGCGCAGCTGCAGGGAGCTCCCCGCCTCCCCCCAGGGCTCCTCACCAAAGGCTTTGGCGACATCTCCTGGACACGTGCAGCCTCCATCCTTCAAAGAGGAAAGAGCAAAGAGAGGATGTCAGCAGGGGCTCAGCCAGGCTGTCCCCCTCCCCTGGGGTGATGCAGCGAATAGGAGCTGATATCCCCAGCCCCGCCCCCAGCCCTCAGAGCCAAAGCCCAACGCTCCCCTCAACACCGCACCTTCCATTCCCCAAGCCCCATCCGTCCTGTTTCAGCCTGGCACCGCCCACTGCCTGCCCACTCGCCTGGCATCAGCGTCCCTGCCCAGGAAGCAGGAGGCAGCAGGAGCTGCTGAGTGGGCAGAGGGGCTCCGACCTCCTCTTCCGCCAGCCCCTTATACAACACGCCCAGCCATTCAGTCAGCCACGTTCATTCTCATTCAGCAGTCACCTCTCCCCCTAGCCTGGTGGGAGGTGAGATTTATTTAGTACAAGAACTATTTTAAGAGCCGGAAAGGACATCGAGTTAGTTCTTTTATTTCCAGCCACTTCATGTGTCTCCTATTCACCCTCACTTAATGTACCCAGTTACCTTCAAGTCAAACACGCATTCCTGACACCCACTCTACCCAGACAGAGCGCCCACCTGGGGCTGCTTTAATGTCTGGCAGAAGAGTCTGTCATCTTGGGCTGCCTGGCTCGGTTCAGCAGTGGGCGTTATGTTTAAACACCAGCGACACAGCACAAGGTTTCTAGGATGCAGAGCCTGCTGTGCTTCCTTACAAACACAGAAGGCACAAAATGACCAGGCTGCTACCTGCTCTGCACAATGTGGCCTGTGTGAGGTCCAAGGAGGAGGACGGTGGGGGAGGCTGGAGTAGCAGCCAGACCCAACAAGGAGAGGCAAAGGCACAGGGGAGGCAGGGCAAGCACTCAGGGTTGGCGGGATGGGACAGAGCCCAGAACTCAGTCTGGGTCTCGGAAAAACACCAAGGTCTCGGAGGGAAGCGCCTGTCCCCAGGTGGGACACACTTTGGGAAGGACGCAGAACACACAAGCCACCAGGGCTACCTTGCATGATAACTGGCAGGGAGGTGCGCGCACCTCTGGAGACGGAGGGCGTCTACATGGAACCGGGGTGAACCACTTCACAGACAGCGTCTCCAACTGAGGACATGGGGTCTCTGTGACTCAATTCTTTTTTTTCTATCTGCTTTTTAGGCCTGTCACTCTAGGAGCTAGAACTACAATACTGCTTCATTACTTCTTTGCAGTTTTGATCAAAAGGTAGGTGCAAAGGCTCGATCTCTTTATGAATATTTCCTGACTGCAATTATTTCCTCAATCAACTGTGTTAATCATGTGTGGCTTCCCTGACCCCCAAAGGGCCACAGGGTAGTGCAGAATGATTATTCCAGAGGTGGTCTCCATACAAGGTATTTGGCCCAATGCGTTGTGGCTCTGTATATCTTGCTGGTGCTTCAACGCTCCAGCATATTTACTTCCTCTTTCAAGGTACAACCCCTATATATACCCTTCACTTGTCCTGCCAATTATTTTTCAAGTGCTTTATCTCTTTATCAAAACCAGTTCTACACAATAGGGTTTCAAACTTATAACCTCAAAAAATTAAATAAACTCATGTTCCCATTAAAACAAGTCCCTAACACTATGACTTAAAAAAACAACAACACGTACACACACTCCTTAAGTCTTTTGCTCACTCGCTTGTGAGTGAATAGCTTGTGCCTGCTAGGTGTCTTTTGTAGGGTCCTCGAAATTCCACATTATTGTGGTCAGTGATGAGGCCTCACTCAGAAGGCCTCTGCTACTGGGACCCCAAGCAAATGAGCTCCTGGGGCTAAGATGCCCACAGTTAATAGGACTTTATGATATGCCACAGAGAGGAAATCCTACTTACGGCCTCATTTGCTCACACTTTGCCTGGGTCTGCATTTATGAAATAGACAACACAGGCCAAACAAGCCAGACCGCACATTCAACCCAGCGCAATCCAACGTCACAGGACACTTCAGGGCAAAGGAGTCAGCTCCCTATCAACCATTACACGTCATTTCCAAAAGCTGTTCATAGCATCCTTTCATGTTCCGGAGGCACAGCAGTAGGAGCAAACCTCTGCCCTCTAAGAGACACAACTACTTTCATATATAAACATCCATGGTTGCTGGAAGTTTTTAAAAAACAATGTGCAAATATTCGAAGGGGTACCTGTTTTGTTTGTCAAGAGTGTTAACAGTATATTTTAGTAGAAAAGGCATCACATGACACGAGTGGTGATTCAACCTGTGAACTGTCAGCATACCTCCTCTTAAAACTACCTGCTCAAAGCAAGCACGGAATAGGCAGAGGGAATTCGAATCAAGCACGTACTATGAGCCAGGGATTGTTACAAACTTCATTTTTCTATTCACACACCACAAGAACCTCAAGTCGATATTTTGTAGGTGGGGAAAAAAGAGGGAGGCTCAGAAGGGTTAAGTGACTTGCCCAAGGTCATACAGCTATAATAACGGAAGAACAAGAACCTGGTTAAGTGTAAACTCTAAAAATGTCTAGAAGCATACTTATCAAAACATTAGTGGTTATCTTAAGATGATGGCATTTCTAGTAATCTTTATTTTCTTTATGTTTGTTTGTATATTCTAACTTTTTCTAGACTAAATCTATTTCACTGGGGAATTTTTTTAAGCCTCAAAAAAATTAAATTATTTGAATGAATTTGTTTAGGTCTTTCTAAATAATGATCTAACTGTTCCTGAAACACTACTTTGAAATAAAAAAATTATAGGAAATTTGCTGATCAATCTTGACCTCTTTGCAGAGGATCAGTGAGCAGATGAGAGCACTACTGAGTAGGTGGAGAGAAGGAGGGGACTGGGGATTACTTTGGTCAGCTCCATCCTCGATCATTAACAGCCGCTCACTATTTGGGCCTCCTCAAACTTACAAGTGTGCTTTCTAGGTCTTCATAAAATGCACGGATTACGACATTGGAGCTTGAGTGACCAAGAGACAACAGAGATCCAGTCAACCTCCTCATGGGACTTTTTTTTACAAACAGTGAAGCAGCACAAAGCCCAAGCCATTTCTGGTTATCAGCGAATAGTGAACTTCGCCGGTTGTCCAAATCCCTCCACTTCGAATGTTCACTGGGTACTGACTCTTCTCTCTCCACTGGAAGACATGCTTATAGCTGGTCCCTGTGGGGCAAGGATGAGCTGTAAGGACAGATTAACCTGAAGTCTCCCAAAGCGATGTGGTGGGAAAACAAGACCGACCCTGCATTCTTTGCAACTTCAGCAAGCCCTTCACCTTCTTTGAGTCTCCTCATTTTTCTAAATAAGGGTGGTCAAGGGAAGGAGTGGAACGCTGGAGAAGAACAGACCTCAGTGTGAGTGCTGCCTCTGCCCCCTGCCAGCGGTGTGATGCTGGACAAGTCACTTAAGTTTCAGTTTCTTCACCTGGTGTGATGCTTAATTTTATGTGTCTTCTTGACTAGGCCACAGAGTGCCTAGATATTTAGTCAAACATTATTCTAGGTGTTTCTGTGAGGGTGTTTTTGGATGAGACTAACATTTGAATTGGTAGACTGAATAAAGCTGATTGCCCTCCCTAATGTGGGTGGGCCCCATCTAAGCAGCTGAAGGCTTGTATGGAACAAAAATGCTGACCCACACTGAGTGAGAGAATTTTTCCTGACTCACTGCCTTTCACCTGGGAAATGGGCTTTCCCAGGGCTTTTTCCTGCCTTCTGACTCCAACTGAAACATCATGGGCTCTTCCTGGTTTTCAGGCCTCCAGACTCACACTGGAACTAGACCATCAGTCCTCCTAGGTCTCCAGCTTACAAACTCACCCTGCAGATCCTGCGACTTCTCACCCTCCTTAATCATGTGAACCAATTCCTTATAATAAATCTCTCTCTCCACACACATACACACATCCTATTGGTTCTGTTTCTCTAGAGAACCCAGACTAATACACCTGTCAAATGAAGAGAACAGCCACCTTGTCAGGTTGTTCCAAGGATAAGAGACTAAATGTGTATTGTAAATACTCAATAAATGACAGCCACTACTTCCCCTAAAGCTGTTTCCACCTTTAAAATCCCCTCCTTTGTGTGATGTCCTTAGCAGATGACAAGACAAAATTAACTGGTCACACCTTAATCTTCACCTGCGCAGGAGGTGTCCTGAATTTTTTCTCTCTCTGCCTCTGAGAAGCCCACGGGGGCCACAATAAATAGCAACCTGATTCAAGTCCAGCCTCCTGGGTATAAGCACCTGCTGAACAGACTCCACGTTGCGGCTTCCTTCTGAACTTCTGCGGCAGGGATGTGCTAATTCAGCAACTAAAGTGTAAAATGAGACAGCTGGAAGGAAATGGGACAAAGTGGCAGGATCCACAACATCTGATGGGCTTCCAGCCAGTTTCAGACGATTGGCAAGTGGAAGAAACTTGCTTGTGCAACTCCATTAGACAAAGGCACGATGGGGAAACAGCTACATGGAACCCCAAGACGCTCAGCTGGTTAGAGGAAGTCAAGAGTGTAGATCCTATCAGTCTGTGAACTTCATTTGGTCTTCTGGCTACAAATTGAACTTCTAACCCCATCTAGGAAATCTCTCACCATTGATGGAAAAATAGGAACCTCAGAGCACCAGTATCACAAGCCTGGCTGCCATTGTTCCTACTGACAAATTAAGAAGTTGTTCCCCAGGCGTCAGAAGATGAGACCTGGCTCTGGAACACCAGGCCTACCTGTGCATGCTGAGCCTCTACTATAGAAGCCAGTGGTTCTCAAACTGGAGAGCACATCAGCATTACCTGGAGGGCTTGTTAAAACATATTCCTGGGCCTCACCTTCTGAGTTTCTGATTCAGTAAATCTGGGATGGGGCCCAAAAATTTCTAACAAGTTCTCAGTTGATACTGATGCTGCTTGTCAGGGCACCACACTTAGAGCACTGCTGAAATAAGCTATAAACTAGGTGTGCTGGATAAAGAGATCTCAAAGTGATTTCTAATCAGAGCCACCTGTGGTGTAAGCAGAGCCTCCATCCCTCCCCCCCAAATGGTCCCATAAACTAATAAGCAAGAGTGAAATTTCTAGAAGGACACAAGTATGGGATCTCAGAATATGTTCATAATATAACAATTAACTTGACTTCCATTGATTTGGAAATGGTGGCCATTCAAGGAATATATAAATCTTACATATATATAACATTTATATATACAATAAAATTTATATATATATAAATTTTGATTAAGACTCTTGATGGTGAACACTATCAGGTAATAAAAGACTTATGACTAATTACGTTTCGTGCTTTTGGGGGCCAACCTCTAAAGAGTCTAATTCGCTAGGATGGGGTCCAGGAATATCTATTTAAAAAGCTTCCTTGGTGATTTTCATGCAGAAATGAGTATCCAAGAACCACTGGCATATTGGAGAATGGTGCTGTTTGGTGACTCCAGTGAGGTGAATCATCTCATTCAGCAAATGTAGGATGATGGCTTTATGTCAGCCTTTTACACACTAGTTAGTTGTTCAATAAATGGCTGTTAATTTGTTCACTGAGGCAAAAGCTAAAGGAAAAGGTATTGAGTGGAGGGTCTTAGAACTCCATCAGCAACCCGTAAATCTGCAGTCATTTATTCCATCTTCCAACACATAGTAGATGCTCAATAAATACCTGCTGACTAAATGGGTGGGTGGATGAAAAGCATGGATGAAGACTTAGAAGGAGCAAGGAAGTCCACACTCGACTGCAAGTCAAGGACCTAGATCCCAGTTTCGGTTGTTACCTGAAAGTCACATGCGGCGAAGCCATGGCCGCAGGGCTCACACACTGCAGCAAGGCTCAAAGGAGATAAGGTGCATGCAGGAATTTTTAAAGAGTATTATTCTACCCTCAAAGCAGGTCCAGAAATCAAACCTCACCAGGTTGAAATGCTAAGCCAAAATCAATAAGATATCATTCCACAAGGATATATGATTTACTGTATTTGGATTTTTAAAAAAATAACCTAGCAATTATTTAATGTGGGAGCTCAGCATAGCAATTGTACAAGTGAAAAGGTCTGAAGATTTAATTTACTATATTCAGTAAGTCCATTGTTATGGGAACACCAAAAATATGCCACTATTTCAGAATTTGTAAAAAAAAAAAGAAATATTTATGTATGTACCATCCACGTAGGTGAAAGCCATAGTTCTATCTGAGTCCATCCAATTATACCCGACATGTTCTGTCCTGTTCTGAGCATCTCATCCAGAAGGAGACATCATAACTCTCTTCAACTGTTTCAACGGTGGTCATGTCCATAAAGGTAGACTACAATTACAGATAAATTGAGGATTTTAACGTTCATTCAATCCTTAATATTTACTGGCTGAGTACTGTGGTGCTGTTCTTCCAGGAGCTTCATAAAAACATTGTTAGATCACTGTCTCTGCTTCAACCTCACTTTCTTCCTATACATTTCTCAACCCACAAAAATCTAACTTCTGCCCCTAACATGCCACTGAATCTGCTCTTACTACAGTAACTGGTGACCCGCTGGCTGCATCTGACACCACTGCAGACATGAGCGGCTAAAATGAGGTCATAGTAGAGTTGGGTGGGCCTCTAATCCAATATGACTGATGTTCTCATAAAAAGGAGAAATTTGGACAGAAAGACACACACACACACACACACACACACACACACACACGGAGGACACCATGTGAAAACTGGAGTTATGGTGCCACAAGCCAAGGAACCACCAGAAGCTCGGGAGGCCTGGAACAGAGCCTTCCCCAGAGCCTTCACGGCCCTGCTGACACCTTGATCTTGGACTTCCAGCCTCCAGAACTGTGAGACAATATATCTCTCTTGGTTAAGCCACCCAATTTGGGGTACTTTGTTACGGCAGCCCTAGGAAACTAATACACAGTCCTCTCATTTTCTCAAAGCTCCCCATGTTATCCTCCATCACGCTACCTGCCACCTCGAGTTGTTATTGACTAGAGTTATTGACTAACGTGCCTGCCTCCCTCATTGCAGAGTAAGTGGGAGCAGGGCCTCTGTCTCTGCCAAATGTCACTGCTGTGACCACAGTGCCCGGCTCACTCTCTAGCCCACAGGATGCCAATTGGATGAATGGCAGCCAGGAGGCAAGGCTCCTTCAGGCCCAGGGAGCAGGGGCCTCCCTGGAGTCCCGAGATGCTCCCCGATCCACCCCCAGCCCCACTCAGAGACTTACGGAGATGATGTGCCCCTTCAGGCCGTGGGCAGAATCTGCACACTCCATCACGGCACTCAGCTGGGGGTAGCCCACCCCCGTCTTGGTGCGGGTGGTGCACACAGAACCTGGCATGGGGAAAGAAGTGGACCCCAAAGAGACATGGTTATGAATGAGCAGAATGTGACACGAAATGACCCCCCATCAGCATCACACAGCCCTGCCCCAATTTACTGGAGGTGAACTTTCCACAGCGGAGAGGCACAAGGGGAGGGGCTGTCCAGAAGCTTGACAGAGGTGATTATAACCACACCACCTGTCCACACATCCCCTCAGGTCCTGATCACTGTCATCTGCTGATGTCCAGGACACCCTCCACCCTATGCCCCGTCACTGTCACCCTCCCCTATGACATCAGCTCCCACTTAATGGGCAAGCACTGACTCTCCATGCTTAAACTCCTATTCTTTTCCACCTTCCTTCCCTTTTCCACACAACCACACTATGCTTCAAGGGACCTCTCAGATCCCATGGCCTCGAACCTTCTTGACCTCCAACTTTTGTCAGATTACTAACTTATCTCCTCACAGCCTCGCCTGTGAAATGGAAATGGACTCCTGCACCCTCACCTCACTCAACTCTTTCCTCAACATGCCCCAGCCCCTTGTTCTCCATGATCTCGCAGTCCATCTCCCACCCTGGCCAGAGCCCCGGTTCAGCCTGGACTCTGAGGTCAGCCTCCCTTTGAGGACTCCACCAGCCTCCTAGACACCTTCTCCCGCTTGACCTCTGCCTTCCCCACGGTCCACTCCAGTCATGGCTGACCCGTCTGCAGGGTATTACCCCAGTCAGGACCAGACTGAGTCATGCCAAGAGCACCGGCAGCTCCAACACGTCCCCTCGCTCAAGCCTGGCCCTCCCTCCCAGCACGTGAGCACCCCTGCACCCCGAGATCACCTAGATCAAGCTCCCAAATGTCCACCTGCTACCTTCTCTCCCACCTTCTCTTCCCTCGCCCTGCTCACCACGCTCGAGCCACGCTGACCTTTCAGTTCCCCTGTCAGAGTTCTTCCCACCTTAGGGGTTCTCAGTACATGATGTTCTTTCTGTCTAGACACTCCCCTCTGTACCAACCCCTTGGTCTTGCCAACCCTCTCTCATCTTTCAGGCTTCGTCTTAAATGTCACTGCCTCAGGGAAGTTGTTCGTCACGGCACTCATTTCAAAAAGAGGCACTTAAATAATTATTTGTGTAAGAACTGAGATCTGTTTTCTCTGCTGGATGGTAAGCTCTGTGGGTATTCATTGTTGTAGATCCAGTGCCGAGAATAGAGCCTTGTACGTAATAAAACACTATAAATAGTCACCGAAGGAATGCGTGAACTCAAGAATGAATGAGTCACCCACTCCCCTGTCTCTACTGCTTCGCCACTCATTCAGTCCCTGCTGGATGCCTTGTGGTGTCGATTATGGGGTGCCCTGGGGCCTCCTCTCCCGCTCCCCGCCACCATCAGTGCCTTCACAGCTTCCCACAAATTTCTCCCATGGATCTTTAGGGACAGCGTCAGACAGAGAACCATGGCTATCCTCCCAGGCCTGGCTTCAGCAGGGAAACCAAAACAGAGGGAAACCCTTCTCCTGCATCCATCCTGCTGCAGGGCAGAATCCACTATGTCTGTCCACATGACATGTGTCACTCACAAGCCTGCAGCCTTCGAGCTTCCCTCCCCACCAAGGCACCCTCTGCCCCAGTGACCAGATGTGTACTCTGCAAAGCAGAACTAGAGTTTTACAACTTTTAGTTCAGAACTGGCTTTTCTCCTTCCCTCCCACTCAACCGCTGGATCCTCAAGGCAAGGCAGGGGCCTGAGCTGCAGTGCACTAGAGCTCTGCACAGGTGAAGGACCCACAGAGGTTTAGGCCAATCAGCTTTCTTGGAAACAGCCAAGGAAAAAGTTTCAAACAAGGCATGGGAGCAGTCTTAACACCCAGGTTGAAAGGAGAAATTGGGTACATATTTTCTCCTGGCTAGAGGGGCAGGGGGTCTGCTTTTAATGCTTTTCCCCAGTTCCCAGGAGTTACTCAATAATGAACCTTTTTTAATGCTGTCATTTAGATATACAATATCAGTGTTTCTACTCTAAATAATTTGTAAAATATAAATACCACCTCCAAACAATTTAAAGAAGTGGCTCCAATATATCAGGCTCAAAGAAAGCCCCTTAAATCTCTTTAGTCACATTCTAAACAGAGTCGAGGGGCTGGGGGGGAACACACAGTGACAGCAGGCGGACAACAGATCTCCGGAGGAAACAGAATGTGTACACAGAGGATGTGCACAAAGGAAACGAGTGTGGCTGACTGCTCAAGATTACATGAAGAACAGATCTCTGAGAGCCAAGAAGGTGGCTTACACACCTTCACGTCCTGCATAGCACCCACCCAGCACGATGGCAGCCAGGAGACACTCAGTACATATCTGATTAAATAGGTGACTGGTGAGTGCCCTGCTTTTGGGAAAAAAGAGTCTTCCTGGTCTATTATTAGCCTATTCTAGTCTATTACAAGCCTGATCTATTACAGCCTATCCAAGTGAGGATCCTTGTAAGCAAGAACTATCCTGTCTTTGACTTTTCAATGACAGACACTCAGCAAAGACCAGAGCTGTCTTTCCTCTTGCTCAGAATGTTACAAATTGGCTTAGTTTAGTGGCAATATAAAAAGCCCAATCTCGAAAATCTCCCTGTGTGTTAAAAGCTCAGGTACTTCTACGAGCCTGCAGGGCTCCTATCCCTAGCAGTCCCTTCATGTACATCCTATTCTCTTACCGCTGATGACTGTGCCCAATCACAACACATCAATGTCTTCTGCCTCCCAGCAGCACTTTTCCACTCTTCTCATACTGGTTTATGGTTTGCTTCCTTTTTTAGTAGTGTCTTTTAGGTGGGTGATTTTTTTATTCCCAACTGAAAATGAATATCTTCTTTCCTTCTCTCCAATTTTAGTGTCTGGTTAATAATCGATGCACAAGGAAGAATCTTAAAACATGGCCAGGAAGAGTTTAAAAATATGGAAGCTCATGCTCATGTACTGCCAAAGGGGAGCACAAACACCAATTGGCCCCAAGGGAAAATGGAGCCACCCAGTATACGGATAGAAAGGCTCCGCCTCGTTTCTCTACTCAAGATGACAATGGGCAGTCCTAGGAGAGAATGCCCAAGAGGATATGGGCAAAAGTTAAGATGGATTATCTATCAGGGGAGGAGTCAAAGGTAGTAACTGCCTGGGCCAGGGGTCAAGTTCCAATGTGGCCTCTTCGCAATGTTTGGGGTCCCTTAAACACTCAAACTTGAGTCATTTATGTCCATAACTGTCCCCACAGGTTTTTCACCCCTCACCTTCCTCTTCAAGGTATATGGGATCATCAGTTCATCAATGAAATCTGCAATCTTTTCTTCCACATTGATGTTCTGAAACAAGGACCTCACATTCTAACAACATCCAAGCTCATTTAGAAGTTCTGGGGGGCGGGGAGCAGAAAGAAGCTTGATAACATTCCTAATCAGGAGCTTCTTCTGAAGCTCAAGGATGCTTCCAAAGGAAATGTGCTTTAAACTTGTGGATGGATCACTCATGGGTTCCGTTCTGGCCATCTCCAGTCCCTCCAAGCCCAGACCCCAATCCTCCCCCGACACACCCTCTGCTGTGGTCCCAGCAAGTCTCACCTGGTCCAACTCCCACTTTGATTATATCTGCTCCGGAAAGAATAAGCTCTTCTACCATCTCTCCTGTCACCACATTTCCTGCCTGAGACAGAAAGAACCAAGTTCACGATCACAAACTACTCCTAGTGGTACGAAGATGAATGAGTGAGGAACTCTGAACAATTCAGTGATGGAAAAAACAAAATCTTACAGAGAACCCAAATTCATAAAATAAGCAATGAAACACTCTCTTTATTGTTGGGCATAAAATGCTTCACAGATTGTAAAACTCCTGAAGAAGCTCTATGGAACTCCAGGGACCCAGGATTAGGAAACTACTGGTCATCTCACAGTGGGGAAGATACCTGGGTGTCCCACCCTAGGGTCAGAGGTTCCCATCTGAATATGAAAGGGCAGATGAGCCCTGATGGACCAATAGCACTGGAACACACTCAATTTCAGAACATGAAGCTGTGGCCCTAAGAATAAACATATAAGCCAGGAAGTGGCAGGATCTAAAAATCAAAAGGATGCATCTGGTTTGGAAATTGTACAAGTTCTTTCACTACAGGAGTCTGGGAGCGCAAAAACAGCCCTTTTTATTACAACTTACTGCCCTGTGGATTCTTCAGCTGGTACACAAGATGCTTGGCAAGATGCCTGAATTTTCACAACTGTGCAAAGTCTTATTTTGGGAAATGCATCTCTACTCATTTTTTTGCATTGACGTCCCAGTGTACTTTCACTTAATTGATTCCCAGAGGGAATTTTTCTTTTTTAACTAAGACAAAGTGACTTTTAACTTTGTATAAAAGGACCTTGGAAAAGGGTGATGAGGAGGGCACAGAGCTGCTTTAACCCAAACAGCAACTGATGGAAATGGAAATGGAAAATGAGAGATGGCCCAGGAAGGGCACTAGTACATTTGTGCGATATTGTGATTTATAAGAAATACGTATCTTTGGTCATTCAGATAACCAAATATATATATTTGGTCTTCATCCACAGTTCCTGGCTCACAGCTCTCAAAACCTTTGGAATTTCCTGAGCAGTTAGAGCATCTTTTGTTATATTTGGTCTCCTGTCCTCAGTTTCTGAAAACCTTCAGAGCCATAAAGATGAAATGGGTTTCTTGTTATTCGTAACAAGCCCCTTTCTACCACCACTGGGTTTATACTAATGAGGTGACTTTGGCAAAGCACGCAAGGATGGGGCTGGTTGCCAGGGGGACCAACCATCAACGGAGGGTTGGAACTTTCAGTCCCACCCCTCTGATTTCAGGGAACAGTGTGGGGCTAGAGGTTGAAGTAATCACCAGCAGCCAATGAGTTAATCATGCCTACATAAGGAAGCCTCTATAAACACTCACAAGGAGGGGGTTCAGAGAGCTTCCAGACTGAGGAACCCGAGGCTTCCCCATGCCACCATGCCAAGCTTGGAGGACAGAAGCTCCTTTGTTGGGACTTCACCCTATGTATCTCTTCATCTGGCTCCTGATTCGTATCCTTTAATATCCTTTGTAATGAAGTGGTAATGTAGTGAGTAAATGGATTCTCCTGAGTTCTGTGAGCCATTCTAGCAAATTAATCGAACCCAAGGAGAGGGTCGTGGGAACTTCTAATTTACAGCCAGTTGGTCAAAACTACAGGTTACAACCTGAGCTTGCAATTGGCGTCTGAAGTGGAGAGTGGTCTTGCGGGATGAGCCCTTTACCTGTGGAATCTGATACTATCTCCCGGTAGATGTCAGAATTGAGTTGAATTCTTGAACACCCTGCTGGTGTCCCAGTGGGGTTACGTATCGATAAATTCATCATAAGTTGAAAATGTTGTCAAGTCGAAAACGTATTTAATACACCTAACCTACTGAACATCACAGCTTAGCCTAGCCTACCTCAAACGTGCTCAGAACACTTACATTAGCCTACAGTTGGGCAAAACCATCTAATGCAAACCCTACTTTGTCATCAAGTGTCGAATATCTCATGTAATTTATTGAATCCTGTACTGAAAAGCAAAAACCCAACGGTTGGATGGGTACAGAATGGTTGTTCACCCTCAAGACCGTATGACCGACTGGGAGCCACAGCTTCCTGCCGCTGCCCGGCATCACGAAAGAGTATCTTACACGTGTCGCTAGCCTGGAAAAAGCTCAAAATTTGAAATTCAAAGTATGGTTTCTAGTGAATGCCTATCACTCTCGCACCACCTTGAAGTTGGAAAATCATGACTCGGGGATCGTCTGATCCATATGATAAAGGTGGCATTACATGTTAGTGAGGAGGAACAATATTTCAATAGACAGAGCTGGGAAAAGGGATCTTTTGGAAACAGGATATAGATTACCACTCATACTTTTCACCAAAATAAGCTTCACGTGGATTAGAGTTAAAGTAAAAGTTGTATCCTCCCAAACTAGAAGAAAACCTTGAATCCTCGTAATAAGCATAAAAGTGAAAAACACAGAATGATAGATCTGTCCACGTGAAAATAAAAACTCATGTACATATAACATACACACTCACACAATCAACAAAATCAAGAGGCAAATAACCTGGAGGAGAAAAACATCTGCCATTATAACAAAGGGTGACTGACAGTAAAAGAGCTCTTCTGGATCTGTAAGAAAAATGCCCACATCCTCAGAATAACTGCCAAATGACACGAACAAATGAATAAAAGAAACAAAAGCGGCCAATAAAAACTGGGAAGGTGTTTAACCTCATTAATAATCAATTTTTCTTTTTTTTTTTTTTAAAGATTTTATTTTTCCCCCAAAGCCCCAGTAGATAGTTGTATGTCATAGCTGCACATCCTTCTAGTTGCTGTATGTGGGACGCGGCCTCAGCATGGCTGGAGAAGCGGTGCGTCGGTGCGCGCCCGGGATCCGAACCCGGGCCGCCAACAGCGGAGCGCGCGCACTTAACCGCTAAGCCGCGGGGCCGGCCCTCAATTTTTCTTTTTTGATGAGGAAGATTCACCCTGAGCTAACACCCATGCCAAGCTTCCTCTATTTTTTAGTATGTGGACCACCAGCACAGCTTGACAGCTCACAGAGCAGTGTAGGTCCACACCTGGGAACTGAACCTGGGCCACTGAACTCAACCACCAGGCCACGGGGCTGGCCCTGTAATCAAATTTAAATTAAGATTCCAGTGAGGAACTAGTTTTCACTTAACAAATTATCAATGATTATAAACACTAAATGCTAAAGAGAGAACACACTCTCTTTCTCTGTTGGTGGAATGTTTTAGTACAAGTTTTCCCGCAAAACAATTTGTCCATATAGAAAAAATGCAAAAATATGTATATCCAATAAGTCTATTTCTAGGATTCTCTCCCAAGGAATAAACATAGATGAGGTCAAAGGATTTAACTAAAGAATGTGTTATTTATAACAGTGCAAAACTGCAAATATATTCCCCCATATGGGAATAGTTCAACAATCTATGGCCCATCCATGTGATGTTTTTAAGATTGGTTTGATGGCATGGGAAAATGCTTAAATGCTTTCAGTATGTTAGGGGAAACAGAAGGAAATAGTAAGATCTCAATTTTATTAAAACAAAAACAAGCATATGTGTATATGAAAATATACACCAAAATGTTAACAAATTATGTCTAAGTGAAGGGATTATTTGACTTTTATTAATTTTCTTTAAATTTTCTGGATTTTACTGTAGAAACTGTATTGCTTTTATAATTAAGTGTGATGGGTTTGGTTTCGGGGTTTTTTTTTAAAGCACAAGGACCAGCATGAACTCTGTACTCGAGAAAGAACTTTTTTTTTTAATAATTTTATTTATTTATTTATTTTTTCCCCCAAAGCCCCAGTAGATAGTTGTTTGTCATAGCTGCACATCCTTCTAGTTGCTGTATATGGGACGTGGCCTCAGCATGGCCGGAGAAGCGGTGCGTAGGTGCGCGCCCGGGATCCGAACCCGGGCCGCCAGCAGCGGAGTGTGCACACTTAACGGCTAAGCCACGGGGGAGGCCCACAAGAAAGAACTTAATGGGAACCTGAGAAACAAGACTCCAAGCTCTCATTCTTCCTCACTGGTTGATTTGCTATATATTAAAAATTTATTTTAAAAATAAATAAAGTTAATTAAAATAAATTCAAAAATTTTAAAACATAAAGAAGCTACTCTAAGCCCTACATAGTTTCATTTTCAATGTAGATTTTTTTTTCCTCAATGTGGTGCTGCCTACAAATCATTTTATTTTAAAGGGCCTACTTTACACAAAACAAATTAATTCGAGTCAGTTCATGATGGACAAACTCGGTACAACCACCTACGGTCAAAGTCAGTTTAAAAGCATGGAGGAAGGTGGTATTGTTTCAGTAGCCCAGAGGCTTCCACAGGTGTCCCCGTCTCCCCTCAAGCTACCTGTGTGGCTCCTTCACCACTGGTTCGAACGGCATCACTGCTGAGACTGGAAAAAGCCAAATGATTATGAAATGCCTCTAGCAGCAGGACAACACAACAGGAATGCTGACTGAGAGAGGACCGGTGAGTTTCCACTTGCAGGAACAAAGAGCTATCTATTCAAGTTTGAAGCCAAGGGCAAAAATAAGGGGAAAAAGGAAACAATAAAATCAGAAATGAGAATGACAACAGAGTATGGTCAGGCCCCAGCGACAGGCCCAGCCCAAGGCCAGGCAGCCTCCAGGGAGGGTTGTGGGGTGGTGGGGGGAGCTGAATCAGGGTGATTCAGGGTTATCTTGGCTGAAGCACCTCATCTGTGGGGAGGATACTGGATTGTCAGACTTAACCTCACCCAGCAGCACATCCAGCTCGGTCACCCTGGCAGTTCACGCCTGGTCATTTCTGGGGCAGCCACGACAAAAACAGAAGCTACTTCATCTGGGCACCAAAGCAGGGGGGTGGAGATTTCCACTAGGTACCCCGCTTCTCCCTGGGGAGGCGAAGCTCCATCCAGGCCCCTCCAGGCTCTGACGGCAACAACTGCTTCTCCACGTTACAGAGAGATGTGGGCACCCAGGGAAAAGACACAAAAAGCGACAAAACTAAGATTTCAAGTACTTTGGTACCATTTTAAAAAGTCCTATGGGCAAAAACCAAAACTGTTTTGCCTCAAT